CACACACATATACAATACATACACACTCACACACACAATACACTCACATACACAATCCAGACACACAGACATGTACTCACACACAAGCACAGGCACACACATACCCACACACGCACGCATTCACACAAAAAACACACACAGACACACATTCACACACATAGACGTTACTTACACAAGCACATGCGCACATGTACACACACTCCTACACATGCACACACACAGACATGCACTCACAAGCATATGCATACATGTGCACACATATGCACACTTACAGATGTGCACTCACACAAAATACACACACAGACACACACGCACGCACTCACACACACAACACACACACAGAGTGCACTCACGTGCACACTCACAGCCACATTCACAATACAGACATACACACGCACACAGGTACACATTCCTGCACATGCACACTCACACACGCAATGCATTCATACAGTACACTCACACACAGAGAGGCACTCACACAAGCATATTCACACATACATCTACTCACACATGTACACACACAAGCACACGCACACATCACAGTGACACACTGGCTCACATGTGCACTCACACATAACACATCCTCTTGCACACACTGACACTCAAACATTTGCACACACACACGCACACATTTACATTTACTCACATACACTCACATTCACACTTTTGCATGTGAATACACCTGTAAGCACATATACACTTGTGCACGCACCTGCACACTATTCGGACTGCACTCACACACCAACCCCGGAGTGCACCAGGCTTGGTCCAGCCCCCGAGTGCTTCCGCCACGACTGACCGAGGCTGGTATGGGAGGGAGGGAGGAAGCTGTCCTGCCCCCAAGAAGGAAGATGAGGGCCATTCCAGAGCTTAGCCACCCCGCTGCATCTCATCAAGAGCAGGGCCAGGGAGGCCCAGCGGCTTTCGGGGGTCAGATTCAATGGACCAGGCAGGAGGAGGGTAGGGCCTGCGGCTCCCCTGCCATGGCCACACTGTGTGCTGAGATGCCTGGCTCTGGGCTCTGGCAGACCAGGTTTTTGCAGTGTGGGCTGTGTGGCCGTCTCCTTCCTCTCCTTAGCACTCTTCCTCTCCTTAGCACCCATGAAGTGGGGATCATGATCCCTCCAGCCCCAAGTTGTCCCCAGAATTAAAGGGGCATGTGTGTGTCTGGCAGAGTCCTGGGACCAAGGAAAACCCCAGAGAAACAGAGGGACAGTGCTGTGAAGAGGAAGTGTTGGCTGTGGGGGCCTGATCCAAGTCACCTAGGACAATGGGGGGCAAGAGGGACCCGGGCCCAGGGAGCCGCGGAGCCGGGAAGATGGGGAGGAGGAGGTCTGTGGCTAGCCGGCTTGCACTGGGCACCCGACAGAGCCTCCTCTGCTGCCCACCCGCTGCTCCCCGATACTGCGCAGGACCTCGAGTTTCCTCGCCTGCAGGATGGGACCATCCCACCTGCCTCTGCTCGCCTCTCCCTCCCGTTCCCAAACTGCGCGGCTCTCGGCACCCGCGTCGTCCCACTCCCAGCACCCAGAAAACACATCTAGAAGAGTAGCGCAGCTCACGGGCCCTGGCAGGCTGTGGGGGCTGTGACGGGGCCCAGCAGACCGTGGGGACCATGAGCATCATCCAAGAGTAACCTGCAACATGGCCACGCTCCGTCCTCCTGGGGACCTGACTGGTGGTTCTCAGTCTCGGTGGTTCCGGAGCCCACAGGCTTCAGATCTGGCCCCAGTCTCCCATCTTCCACTCTTCTCCACAGACTCACTTTGCCTGAAAAATAGGCTAATGCTGCCTGCTCTACTGGCCAGCCGGGGGCTTCTGTTCGTGAAATGAGAGCCCATAGGCAGGAAAGTGTTTGAAACATTTGAAGGCCCAAGTCTGGAGGGCAGATCCCAAAGTCCACTCAGATCCTGAGTTCATTGGCTCAGTCTCGGGGTGGGGCTCTTGCTTCCGGAAGGGGAACTGCCTGGTGAAGCCCAGGGCAGTGGATTCAAGTCTAAGTCCACCCCTGTGGATGTGGGGCCTGAGCGAACCACTCAACCCTCTCAGAGTCCCTCACGAGGCTCCCAATTTCTGGCCTGCCAGGGTGTGACCTCCCTGGAGACCCTCACTCCAGATGCCTAGAAGTCAGTGACCCTGCAGCAAGAGGGAGAGGAGCCTGCAGCCAGGGTTCCTCTGGTGGACGCCACAGGGCCGTGCCGACCCATGGCCCAGACTCCTTTTAGCAAAGGCCTCCTCTGGATGTGTTTGCCAAGTGCTGGGGGCGGTAAGAAGGGGGTGCCAAGAGCTGAGCAGTTTGGGAGCGAGAGGGAGTGGGAGAAGAGAGAGGGCCTGGGTGCCAAGGGGCAGTTGTACTGAGGGGGAGGCTGCCGATAGCACTGGGCCCCAAAGCCTCTGCTGGGCTTCTGGGAAGCAAATGGCCAAGTGTCCTGTTCCCCCAGCTCAGCTAAGAAAGACCCTTGAGGGCAGCAGGCAGCCACAGAGGCTGCACAGGCTTGGGGCCTGAGGCACAGCCCAGGGTGGGCCAGGACAGTCGCCGTGCCCCTCACAGGCCTGGGGAGGGCAAGGCACAGCCCAGCAGGCTGTCCCCAGAGACCCCAGCTGCCTTCTGGGCCAGGAGACAGGAGTCGCAGTCCTTGTTTCCAGGTTGGCTGGGGGACGCCCTGAGGGAGGTGGGCAGGAGGAGGACGTGGCTAAGAGATGGGGTGGGGGTTGTGGCCTCTCTAGGAGTATTCCGGAGAGAATTCCCTAAACTGAACAGGCTTTGTGAGGCCACCCACTCTTGCTGCCTGTTGGGGACCCCTGGAGTGGCATCCCACCTTGCAGTTCTGTGGGACCCTGACACAGCTGTCACCATTGTTGAATGAATGTCCCTGGCCACATGGGCAGCTGGATCATGGCCACAACTCACCGAAGGCCAGAGGTACAACTCACCGAAGGGGCAGAGGCAGGATACTGCGCACTGGTGGGAGGAGAGTACAGAGATGGACTCTACCCAGTTGCGAAAAATTCAGGAGTTTCCCAAAGGGACTGTGACTTCTGTAGACAAGGCCAAAACACCTAGGGGAGGCCAGGTGTACACCCCTTGGACCAAGGGTGTGAACCAGGGCCGGCAAGTGGGTACCTGGGCTGGGTCTGCAGGCTGGAGAGCCGGCCCTGTCTGCTGAGGGCCCTGAGGGCAGGGGGTGGTCTGCCTGACAGCACGTCTGTTCGCAGAGGGATCCCCTCAGGAGGGCTTTCTTCTGAGCAATTGTGCTTCCTGTCCTGAGCACCTTGGGGAAACTGAGGCAGGAGGTAGTGTGGAGCGGTGAGTAGCTTGGCAGGGGTGCCTCTTCACCAGCTCACGCTGCAAAGCCTGCCTACCCCAGCCTCCAGCTCTCATGGGCCTTGGGAACCCTCCGGGCACTCCTACAGCCCACCCCCAGGAAAGCCTGGCTCACAGGTAACCAGAGCACACTCCTATTACAGTGAGTCCCACAACACCCATGCCTGGATGCTGGCCAAGCTCAGGCCCCTGCCACTGCCACTGACTGTGCCCTGCCTGCAGGTCTCCCTCATTCTACCCTCTCCTCGGATTCTCTCCTCTGCCTCCTCCAGGAAGCCTCCCATGACACCACCCAGAGCCCTCTTGTCCCTGAATTCCTGGGGTTCTTTTGGCTTTGAGGATAAGTGGGTGTGGAACTGTCATGTCCTTAGGTGCAAGCGGGGCCAGTGCCCAGCCTCCCCAATGGCCTTCCTAGGGCCCACCCTGCAAACCTCTGCTGCATCTTCCAGACACAGCCTCACCCATGAAGGGAAGCCATGCCTGCATCCCTTAGCATCAGAAACCAAGATGCCCTGCAGGCTCTGCACCTGACTCTGGAGCCTAAGATCCCTCAAAGCAGGGCAGTGCTGCCTCCCTACAGCTTAGTCCTGCCCATGGTGGGCCCTTGGTTCAGTCATTCATTCATTCCCTCCCCTCTCCACTGCTCCATGTCACAGACAGGCTGGCTGGGCTCTGTGCTGGGGCTGGGCCAAATCCCGCATGTGCAGAAGGACCCCGTGAAAGCCTGCCCACAGCAAAGTCAGTCAGAAGGGACGGCTGAGGCACAAGGGGTTGGGCTTACAGCCCAGGTGGGGGCAGCAGCATAGGGTGCAGAAGCCCAGAGGGAGGGTGCGGGGCCATCGAGCAAAGCCAGCCTGCAGAAGGCCGTTCCTGCCCAGTCCAGGTGCAGAGCCTCACTGGGACCTGGGAGAGCAGAGGGACAGGCAAGGTCACAGTTGCGGGTGGTGTGGGGCTCCTCTGCTGGGCCTAGACCTTGAGTTCACACCCCTTTGCCAGGTTGGGAGAGGGCGTAGGCTGGGAACAAAGTGGGTCACGCAGGTGTGGGATTACCCTTGGATCTCTTCCTCCTGCAGCTTGGAGGATGCCAGCAGGGGCCGGCGTTGAGGAGGCCCTCAGGTGGCATCACCAGCATGGCTCTGAGGGTCTCCATTTCCAGAGCTCTGCATCTGTGAGCTCAGATACCCATCCCAGTCAGCGAGGGAGAAGGCAGGCCGCTTTTCAGTGGACACACGCTGGTGGCCTCGGGTCCCCCTGCTCCACCTCTCGCAGTGGAAGGCCACTCCCAACGTGCTGAGTCCACTCAGCAGAAAGGAAGCACTTTCCCTGAGCCTGCAGGACTCAGCCCAGAGCCTGATGCTTGGAGGGCTCTGGGACCGTGTGGGCCCAGGGGGCCTGCAGATGCCTCTGGAGGCTGGAATGCCTGTGGGAAACACCGCCTTGCTGGTTCTGCTGCAGAGGCTGGGCTGGCGTGTGGGCTGGGGCTTGTCCTAACACTGGGACCCTGGCAGGTCTCTGGGGTTGCAAGCAGGAAGCAGGTAAGGCTCCTACACTACAGCCTGTATGAGGTCGTATAAGGTAAAGCATTCATTTATTCATTTGTTCTGCAAGTATTTATTTACTTCCTACATGCTGGACACTGTGTGCTAGGTATTCGCCACAGTGGCCTTGACTGGCATCCAGAGGGCCAGCAGCTTTCACAGGAAGGGCACACAGCCTGGGGGCCATGGGGGTGATAAGAATGTAGGCCTGAGATGGTGGGAAATGGCTCCTGCACAGAAGACATGCTTCCCGTAGTCCCAGGTAGCTTAGAAGACCTACTGATGAGTGTTGGAACAGAATCCTGCTCCTGAGCCTGGCTGTGCTCTCCCAGTGTGAGGTCTTTCGTCGCCGTCCATGTCACCATCATCCTCCTTACGACAGGGGCCCTGGGCGGCCAACCTTGGCAATACTCATGCAGATCTAATAAAACCATGCCAGCAGTCACCCTCCACGCCCCTGCCTGGCTACCTCATGCCTGTGCCGAGCCTGGTTGGAGGCTGCACATCTTTGGCTGGAGTTTGCTCTTGGCCTGGATTCCATTTTCTCCCAGCAAGGTAGGTGGGTGTCAGGGTGTGTAGAGCGGGTGTTTTTCTAGCACTGATGCGGTGGCTGGCATGCTTCTTCTTACACGGCATGTGGCATTAGCAATTTAAATCTCCACCTCCGGGTGCGATTTTTAGCATTAAAATGAGGAAGGGGTAACTCCAGGTTGGAATTTAAGTCTAACTACATATGCAGGGCTTCAGGTAAGTCCCTAGCCCCCTACTTCAGGGGGTTGATTGATTGAAAGTCAGGTGAGCTAGAACTTGAGTAAGGGGCTTTGTTCTCCTCCCTTAGACCAGGTCACCACAGGAAGTCAGCCAACCTGCTTCATTTCCCCTGAGAGATTTCATCTTCATCTTAAGGGATTTTGGGCAAACGTCTCTTCTTCTGGAGCTACTTCCTGCTGAAGGCGAGTGTCATTCCTACACCTTTACCTTTATCTGAGAGGCGTGGAACTCTCCTGCAGCTTAAGGGGTCAATGTGCTAGGGCTGCGGGCTTCTGGAACACACTGGAAGCATGCACGGTCAGTAAAGTTGTTGCAATCTAGAACACAAAAGGTTTCCCAGGAAGTTAAACAAGCACGGTCCAAAAATCAAAAGAAGGATAACTGCTGATGGTCCTAAGGAAGGAAGAAACCAGCTTGTAGAGAGAGAGGTGCTGAGGCAGCAGTTGGAACTGACTCCTCTGCTGGGCCCCGTTGTCTGGTTGTAGATTGCTTGGATGTTCACCTCTGCTTGCCCTGTAGTATTTATCTAAGCACAGCAGGAGGTGTTCATGACTATGCATACACCTCCTTGTTCTGCCGGTAGGTAACCCAGGGCCAATGGTTATCCAACACCGCGTTATTGAGAGAATTGAGGGAGGGCTTCACACCTTCTAGAGCCTGCCCAGTCTGGTCCACCACATGACCAATCTGTCATGTCAGGTCTCTCCAAGGGACTGCTAGGCCAATAGCCAGGCCTATTCCTGCTAGCACCATGCCAAGACCTTGTCTTGCTTAGACAGAGGCCTGATGTTGGGGGGTGCAGTTGTGGTTACTCCATTTATCCCCATCGATCCCAAGGCACATTAATCTGTGAATCATACATTGTCTCTGCAAGAATAGGCCTGAGCCAACAGAGGAAAAGTACAGGGAAAGCAGGCAGTGGACCACGGGAGGTTATTAGGGTGGCCTCAAGGGAAAACAATTCCAAGAGGAGCACAAATTCGAATGTCCCCAGGTGTCACTGAGAATCTTGAGGTTCAGGTTATGAATTGTGCAGTTGGTGGGCAGCAAGCCAGGGTCCTGAGGATCGTCTGCATATCCCCTGGCATATATCATTTATATATGGTATATATCATTTATATAAGGATGTTACTTAACCATTGCTGTCTTCCAGAGGCAGCTTCTTGAACAAACACTTGAGGTCCTCTACAGGTTTACAGGAGTAGACTGTTTTCTCCAAGCAGGCCTGTTGTCCATCGGAAGCAAAAGATTTTATTCTAGAGACAAGTCCTTCCAACTGTATAGCTGTTGGAGTGGCCAAGGAAACCTGGTATGGACCCTTTCATTTCTCAGTGAACTGAGCCTCTGGGCTTCCTTCTCACCATGTCTTGAGTAGGACATGTGCACTTGGGCTAGCAGGGAAATGATCTGAAGCTCCATGACCTGGCTGAGGTCACGTCTTATTATCATATCGGGAGATTGCCTGCTGAACTTGTCCCAAGTTAATGATGTATTTTACAGCCTGATTTAAGAAAATGGCTAGGAAGAGGCTAGTAACAAGAGGAGCGGGTTGGGTAGATTTATTCTGTCCTGGCTTCCCAGGATGGAGTGAGCAGTCCCTTTCCCAGTGCCCCTCCTTCCTATAGTAGGAACATGGGTTACAGGAGCCAAGGGGCCAAGCCACTCTGTCTGAGCCGCCTGTTTGGCAGCTTCACCAGCTCAGCTGTCTCCTCGGCTGGTTAAATAATTGCCTGCTGGGGCCCTTCACGGTGCGTGACAGCTATCTGGGCAGGGAGCTGAACTGCCTCAAGAAGGGACAGAATCACTTTTTTATGTTTTGTGGGGGAGCTCCTAGCACTCCACAATCTCCTCTCTTTCCACACAGCTGCACGAGCATGGAGCACTAGGAATCCATACTCAGAGGCAAGATATACATTAAGTCTTTTTCCTTCCCTGAGTTAGAGCCCTGACTAGGGATCTGAGCTCTGCTTCCCAAGTGGAAGTGCTTGGGGCAAGGGCTTTTGCTTCTACAATGTGGTTCAGGCCAACAGCAGCATAGCTTGCCTTCCGGACTCCATTTTCTACAAAGCTGCTCTCAGATATAAACAATTCTTTGTCTGGATTTTCTAATGGGAGTCCTGCAGGTCCATTCGGCTAGAATAGGTCTGGTCTAAAGTGTCCACACAAGTGTGTTTGTATCTCTGAAGTGGATGAGGGAACCGGCACGGCAGGATTCAAGGTCTAACACACCTTTAAGGTTCAGTCGAGGGTGTCTAGCAGCAGGGCCTGCTATAAAGTTGGGCTTCCCCAGCCAGCGGGGCTCTTTTATTTCTAACACATTCGGGACCTGGTGAGGAGTGTCAGCCTGAAGGAGTTGGCCTCATGTGAGTTGGGAGGCCTCTCTGACCAGGAGGCTGGTGGCCACCACTGCCCTAAGTCGGCTGGGCCTCCCCTGGGCTACTGGGTGTCATTGCTTTGAAAAGTAACCACTGGCCATTGGATGGACTCCAGATTCTGAATTAGGACATCCAGGGCTGGCCTGAACCTCTCATACACAGATAGGAAGAAAGGCTTCTACAAATCTGGGAGTCCTAGGGCAGAGGCCTTCCTCACTCAGATTTTAGGGTTTCATACGCTTGCTGACAGGCTTCTACCCAGTGGGATGGTTGTTTTTCTCCACACTTGAGTGGGTTTAAGCATGAGGCCAAAGTTTAGGATCTAAACCCGGCAGAAACCAGTTATCCGCAGAAATCCATGCAGCTGTCTTCTACTACCAGGGACTGGTGGTGAAACAATGGCCTGCTTTCAGTCTGGGGCAAGCATCCTGGTTTCTGGGATAAGTATGAACCCTCGGTGTTTAACCTGTGTCTAGGAGATCCGGGCCTTTAAGGGGAGCCAAAAGGGTCAGTAAATGGATTCCCTTATCTAGAGGTACTGAGACTTACATTGCATTATCCTGAAACCCCTGGGGTAGCACTGTCCAGGTATATTGGGAAGTGTCTGGTCTCTGGATACTTCCATTCAAAGGCAAAAATGTAGGAGAATTTCTGATTCAATGGAATACAACAGAAAGTGTCCTCTAGATCCAGCACCATGTAGAACTGAGTGTGCCCAGGGATCTGAGAGAGGAGTGCGGATAGATTGGGAACTATAGGATGACTGGGAACAACTGAGTCATTCACTGCCCTGAGATCTTGAATAAACCAGTACTCCCCTTTTGATTTCTCCACAGGCAGCATTGGGGTATTACAAGGTAACTGACAGGGCTGAATAGGCCTATGCTGTAGGAATTTTCCCAGAAGGAGCTGTATTCCCTGCAGGTCTTCTGTCCTCAAAGGGTATTGGGGCTTGCATGGGTAGGGTATGCTTGGCTTAAGTTTTATCTTAATAGGCTCTGCAGTGATGGCTTGTCTCAGAGTACTGGCATCCCATATAAACTTTGCCACTTGAGATAACATCTCTTCCAGGACAGGAGGCAACTTCTGACCTCTGGGAGCCAAAAGGGCCAGTAAATGGATTCTCTTCTCAGAGATACTGAGATTTATATTGCATTCCCCTGGAGGGAAACTGAGGCTCCCAGGTTGGATAATAAATCATGACCTATTAAAGGAAGGGGACACTCAGGGACATATAGGAAAGAATGAGTAACACCCTTAAATCCAATTTCACAAGTCAAAGGAAAGGCAAATCATTTTACCTTCTCCTGGCCATCTATTCCCATCACCATACAGTTGGCATTGCAGAGGTCCCACAGGTTAGGTCACGACAGAGTAGGTGGTCCCAGTATCCAATAGTCATTTAAGTTTCCTGCCTGCCACATTGAGAGTGACCTGAGGCTTTGCAGTGGTGAGCTGACAGAACGCTTCAAGACTGCAACTGGGAGAGCACTTGGGCTACATCCAGCAGAGGGGGTGGCCTTTTCATGCAAGACTCTAGCACCAAGAGGGGCGAGTTGGGGAGATTCATTCTGTCATGACTTCCCAGGATGGAATGCACAGTCCCTTTTCCAGTGCCCCTCCTTCTTATAATAAGCACATTGATTGTGCCTCAATCCTATTGCTGCTTGTTGAGGTCTGGTCATCCCTTGTCTGGAGTGTTTCTGTTGCCTAGGGTCACCTTGAGGCAGACTTGTAATTATAGCAGCCAAAATTTTTGCCTTCTTTTTCATTCTCTCATCCTTTTTTTCCTCCTCTGCCTGGTCCTTACTGTTAAAAACTTTAAAGACCTCTGCTATCCATGTCACCTGAGGTGTCTTGGGGTAGGATTCCAGTTTCTGCTTTCTCCAAATGTCTGGTGCAGCTTGGGTTATGAAATGTATGGTAGTTGTGTATTCATTTTTATAAGAAACCTTCAAACTGTTTTCCGTAGTGGCTGTACCATTTTAAATTTTCACCAGCTGTGTATGAGTGATCCAGTTACTCTGCATCCTTTTCAGGATTTGGTGTGGTCACTATTTATTATTCTAGCCATTTTCATAGGTATGTAGCAATATCTCATTGTGGCTTAAATTTGCATTTTACGAAGGACAAGGATGTTGAATATTTTTTAATGTGCTTATTTGCCACCCATATCTGCTTGCTGATGAAATGTCCATGTATATGGCTGGCCCATATTTTCATTGATTTTTTTTTTTTTTACTGTGGAGTTTTAAGAGTTCTTTATATGTTTTAGATAAACCTTCTTTGTCAGATTGTGGCTTGTAAATATTTTCTTCTAGTCTGTAGCTGTTCTTTTCATCCTAATAACAGAGTCAATAGCGAAGTAAAACTTTTAACTTTGGTGAAGTCCAGTTTATCAATTGCTCC